TATTACCTACACACCTTTACTTCTTCGAGAGAGTTCGAATTCATGTACATGTAGTAACGTTATTGAAAAAGTTGTCTTTAAATTGAATTTGATAGACTTAGTTGTATGACCATCGCAGAGACTCAACTGTACCATTAACATTTATTGGTTATACCAATATTACTAATCCTTATTAAAATATATAAAGTTTGAACACATCAGTATATTTAAACTCGTATTAAAAATAAGAAAATTTATAACTAGTTGGATTTATAAAAACTTTTCAACTTGCTTGTTGCCATCAAATCAGCATGTTACACACACCTTTGATAGTATTTAACATATCAGCTCGCATAAACTTAGCTTACTGATTTAGTAACCAGTATTTTAGACTTAGAAAAAGAGACTAAGGTTCGAACCTCATCGAGAATCATGCTCAATCAACAAGTCATCTCTTTAGCCGTATTTTTATTTTATTTTTTGTTTTATTAGTGAGTAAATAACTACTTCAAAGTTCAAAGTCCATGCTTGTTGAATCATGAACATATAAGTGATTACTTAACCGCAACATTTGGAAGACTTCAAGATTATGCAAGTCAAGGTCGCGCACCACAAGACAATATTTTTATTGTAATATTGCAATCCGGCCAATCCATACCAAAAACACCACCCCAAAAAATTTAAAAATAAAAAATAAAACCAACAACGATCGACAACAATTCCCACAGATTGTTAAAGACCAAACCATTGACATGTTGCCTGAGTAGATAAATTTTGGATTATGTTTACTAACAGTTGCATGTTGAAGTGTTCAAATCGTGTGATTAATTATTTAATGCATATAAAAATGTTTTAATGGCTGTCCAATTTTGATTTATGCGTGGACAATATATAGCATTATAAATCCTGATCCATTTTGGTCAGATCCTTAATGATGTAGAGTTCACAAGCACTAACTGTTGACTTGGCTCTACCAACCCACATGGCTTTCCATTTCTTTCATACTACAGGTACTGTGTTTGGTAAATAATTATTAACTAATTGAGTTAGTGAGTTTTATAGCATTTGTTGATTATAGAAAAATATTTAATAAATTAAGTTGTTAACTGATAGTTTATTACATGCAAAAATGATCGACTTTCTCAAAAAGTTGATCGGATCGAAAAAGTTGTTTTGAGCATCTTTTTGAATTTTAACATTTTGAAGTAATAATAAGCTGTTACAGAAAACTAACAATATTGATTGTTTAACCAAGTCAAATAACTAATAGTGATCAAATAAATCAAAATTAATTGATAAGTTAATTACGTTATCAGGTCATAAACTGAAACAAAAAGAAAAAGAAAAAAAAGAAGAAATTCATGCACCAGTACCAAGATTCATGTTTTTAACTTGTCTGTTTGCACTAATTAAGATTCCAAGACCTTTGACAGTAATTTTGGCATTATATATTCCAGTGTTATTTCTCCAAACAATTTCAGGCACAATTCTGACTTGACCAATGGGTTATTAGGGTGACTTGAAAAAAACCGTAGTTACTATTTGAGAATTTGTACTGAGTAAATTTTATTTTGTGAAGTTATTTAGTAAATGATCATAAAGATCTGTCTAATTTGTCTATAACTGATCGACTCAAATTAAGAAGACGTTCACATAGCACACTCAGATTCAAAGTCAAATTTTAACTTTGTAGTTAGACTAATTTGGCTGGGATTACCCCGGGCCAAGTGGTTGATGAATGCTATAATGCTATTCCTTGGACTATATCCATCATTTCATGTAACTAATATGTCCTTTTCCCATTTGGTTTCCTTATAAAAGCTGCCATCGTTTCTGGTCCGGACAGCAAACCATTATTGTATCACTTCAACACTTCCCAAAAGCATTCTTCAGAGGGGAGAGAGATCAGAGAGATTTCATTTTCTTTTCTTGAATATATTGAGATGGTAATGATGATGATTGGTGGGTATGTTTTGGGCTGTTTGATTGCTTCCTTCCTTGGGTTTGTCTTCCTTTTCAACCTCAGAAGACAGGTTGTCAAGAAAAGCAAAGCTTCTGGCATTAAGACGACGCCGGTGAACAGCCGTCGCCGGACGGTGGAAGACGACGAGAGTACCGATATCATCATTGTCGGCGCCGGCGTTGCCGGTGCTGCTCTTGCTTACACGCTTGGCAAGGTATATATATATATATTATTTCTCACCTGCCCATTCATGCATAATAGTAATGCATGACAGCATGAAATGCAGATCAGAGTTCAGAGATACCAAAAAGATTCAAACTTTTTGCTTATAAACTAAGATTACTTGAATTCTGTATTGATTAGTTAATTTGTTTTGAACCAAGGATGGACGTCGGGTTCATGTCATAGAAAGAGATCTGACACAACCAGATAGAATTGTTGGCGAACTTCTTCAACCTGGAGGGTATTTGAAACTAATTGAATTGGGGCTTGAAGGTATGGATGAAGATTCAATATTTTCTGCAAATTAAAATCCCAGTTTGAGAAATTTCTGTTTAGCAGCAATGTAAACTTATTGCTTTGTTTCTTGGGTTCAGATTGCTTGGGTACTATTGATGCCCAGAGGGTTTATGGATATGCACTTTTCAAGGATGGCAGAAGTACCAAGTTGTCTTATCCCTTAGAAAAATTCCAGTCTGATGTCACTGGAAGAAGTTTTCACCATGGGCGTTTCGTTCAGAGGATGAGGGAAAAAGCATCAACCCTTCCAAAGTAATCTTTTAATCTTCTTCTAATTTCTTTGAGAAATTCAAATGCTTGTTGATTTACTGTTTTTCTGGTTTAGTATAAGGTTAGAACAAGGAACTGTCATGCGTTTGGTTGAAGAAGATGGAACTGTCAAGGGAGTTCAATACAAGAACAAGGATGGGCAAGAATTGACTTCATATGCCCCTCTTACAATTGTTTGTGATGGCTGCTCCTCAAATCTGCGACGCTCTTTGTGTGATCCCAAAGTATGTGATGTCTTGTTACTAATACATGTCGAGTTCTTAGTACTTTTTTGGGTGACGAGAGAAACCCGCAGCTACAATCTGAGCCTTGTGAGAGACTGTAAACCAGTCAGATTGTTCATAGTTGACTGGCTCAATCCAAAAAGGCCAAAAGGCTGTTCTTGCTGGCAGTTGAACTTGTAATCTTGTGATTACTAAATCAATAGTCTGACCAACTTGACTGGTGTTGTCCCAGAATTCTTAGTACTTTGTGGTTATTAATGTGTTCAAGATCTAAAGATTGATGTTGTTGTAGGTGGATATTCCTTCTTGTTTTGTTGGCATGCTCCTGGAGAACTGCCAGCTTCCATTTGTGAACCATGGACATGTTATCCTTGCAGATCCTTCTCCAATCCTGTTCTACCCTATCAGCAGCACTGAAATCCGGTGTTTGGTTGATGTTCCAGGGCAAAAAGTCCCCTCTCTGGCCTCTGGAGAAATGGCAAATTATCTAAGAACAAAAGTGGCTCCTCAGATCCCTCCAGAGCTCCACGACGCTTTCATGGCAGCGATTGAAAAGGGAAACATCAGAACAATGATCAACAGAAGCATGCCTGCAAATCCCCAGCCCACTCCTGGGGCTCTTCTCATGGGAGATGCCTTCAACATGAGACATCCTTTGACTGGAGGGGGCATGACCGTTGCATTGTCAGATGTTGTTGTTCTTCGCGATCTTATTAGACCTCTGCAGGACTTAAACGACGGACCCACCTTATGCAAGTACCTCGAATCCTTTTACACCATTCGAAAGGTAAACGAATTGAATGGACTATCATCATCAACTAACCCGAGGCTTGGTTTCTGGTTTTTGGATAGATTTTATATATGATTCTTGCTTTTCTGCAGCCTGTTGCATCCACTATAAACACTCTAGCTGGTGCGTTATACAAAGTGTTCTGTGCTTCCCCTGATGAAGCTAGGCAAGAAATGAGAGAAGCATGCTTTGATTACCTAAGCCTTGGAGGGGTTTTCTCAAATGGACCTGTGTCTCTACTTTCTGGTCTGAACCCGAAGCCTCTGAGCTTGGTATTGCATTTCTTCGCGGTGGCAGTTTATGGCGTTGGGCGCCTGTTAATCCCCTTTCCTTCGCCTAACCGGCTGTGGTTAGGGACAAGACTCATCTCTGTGAGTACCCACCCCATATATATATGCCCTTCTCTCAACTTAACTTAAAAGCTGCAGTTTTTAAGCAATTTATGATTTTGGTTTTTAGGGTGCATCTGGGATCATCTTGCCAATCATAAGAGCAGAAGGAGTTAGACAAATGTTCTTTCCAGTTACAGTCCCAGCCTACCATAGAGCTCCTCCTGTTAATCTAGACTGATCATCAAGAATCAAGATCTTATGTCTTTCTTTCTTTTCTCCAGTTAAACTTGAAGTTTGGCTTGTTAATCCTGTTTTTCTTAGTACTTAATTGGTTAAAAAGGATTAACATTTCCTGTTGAGGAAACCAGAAGTGTATTATCAACCATTTTACTGTATTTAGTCATACATAATTTGACTAGTGCTTCAATTCAACTCTTAAATTTATTTTTGTGGTTAGGTGGAATTTGAATTAATCTCGTAGTTACGAGGATACCAAATGTTGTATGTAACAAAAAAGTATATATATCTAATAGGTGATTAATGAAGTAAAAAATGAAAAAATTAATCTCAAAGTACGACTTTGTTACAATGTAGTATCTGTCCATACTTTCTATTGAAGTACAAAGAGTCAATTCTCTCATTGGAGTTCGAACCCATAGTTTCTCAACCTATTAAAACACAAAGAGTCAATTCCCCCATGAAATTCAAACCTATGACCTCTAATTTGAAAGAATCACAGTATGAGACTTGACTACAAGATCTTTGACACATAAAATAAAAGTAAAATTATTCCGTACACACCTACAACCGATTTACTTTCACAGAAAAATATTACATTAAAAGTTATTATATTTGGGAAAAAAAATTAAAAACTATATTTGGACCGGCAGTCTCTAGTCTGGTATAGAACTACACAAGTAACAGAACCGACCCGGATTAAAATATTACGCTACCAAAAGACAATAATAGCCTCAGCATGATCCAATCTCTCTCCAGAATCCCCAAATCGAGTTCTCTCCTCCGTCTGCACTTCTCCGATCGCCCTAAGCTATTCTCGGACTCTAAGCTTAAGGTTAGTGCCCTGCAGAGTTTCTGGGAGTTTTTCTTTCTTTTTTTAACATTTAAAAACCGAAATTAATTGATTTTTTTTCTTATATTTATGTATCATTTTACTGTTTTCTGCTTTATCTCAATTCTTGCTTCATAAGATCATGCCTGTCTTTATCATTCGTGTATCTTCCATGGTGTGGAATGTGAATGCTGGAGAAGTAGAAGTGAAATGGGAAAGCAATTAGCAATTTGCTGTTTAGGGTTAAAAAAGTGAAAGGGAGTAAATTTGAAATTCTCTCATGTTGAACTGTTTTATTTGTACTCTGTGATGAGAAGAGAGAGCTATCTGGCTGCATAGAGTTATTGTTGGATAGCACAAACGAAAATTTTCTGCTTAGGAGAAATGCAGTTTTTGAGGTGGATATGGGTAGTATCATCTTCTTTCACGAAGTTGACATGGCTAAAGTTCATACCTTAGTTAAATATGATATAGTCATTAAAATCTGTATGAACAAAGGGATGATGCTTGTTCTTGTCCACATGTGTGAGTTCCTGTGTGTAAATGTCTTTTCAATTTTCACTGTCAAATTGCTTCGGCATATGGTTTCTAAGAAACCATGTGCTTATGTTTGTTTGTTTTTTTTTTTTTTGTTGAAAACTCTTGTGTTTGTTTGTTTGTTTGTTTGTTTGTTTGTGTGAGAATGCATCTACCTTGGTCTTCGCACTTCATAGCCCTGTACTGATGAATCACCTTTAATTCACGCACTGCAGTGCTCTTTTTGTAAAGATTCTTTTTCCTCTCATATTCCCCTTCCTAGCATCTCTTGAGAAATTATGCTAAATGTTTCAGGTTCAAGAAGGTCTTTTTTTTTTTTTTTTTTTTTAATATAAGCTGAGCCGCGGAGGGGTTGACCTTAAATGTCTCGGACTAGAGATCGCGAGTAGTGTATTATTTTATGGAAGATCAGAATTTTTTTGTTGGTCAAGAATTTCGTGATGTCAAAGCCTTCCGTAGTGCAATCAAAGAGGCTGCTATTGCACAACACTTTGAGCTTCGTATCATAAAAAGTGACCTTGTCCGTTACATTGCAAAATGCGCATCAGAAGGATGTCCATGGCGCATACGTGCAGTTAAGCTTCCAAATGCCCCTACGTTTGCAATACGAAGCCTTGAAGGAGCGCATAGCTGCGGAAAAAATGCACAAAACGGGCATCATCAGGCTTCCGTGGATTGGATTGTGAATTTTATAGAGGAACGACTTCGCCAGGATATAAATTACAAGCCAAAAGATATTTTGCATGATATCTATGAACGATATGGGATAACGATACCATATAAGCAAGCATGGCGAGCAAAGGAGCGTGGGCTGCAAGCTATATATGGTTCATCTGAAGAAGGATACTGTCTTCTACCAGCATACTGTGAGCAACTAAGAAAGGCCAACCCGGGAAGTGTTGCAGATGTATTTACTGCTGGTGCCGATAATCGCTTTCAACAGCTGTTTATCTCATTTAGTGCTTCTCTGTGTGGATTCCTTAATGGTTGTTTACCAATCATTGGACTTGGTGGATTCCTGCTTAAGAGTAAATACCTTGGCACCCTACTGTCAGCCACCTCTTTCGATGCTGAAGGTGGTTTGTTTCCACTTGCCTTTGGTGTTGTTGATGTGGAGAACGATGAAAGCTGGATGTGGTTCTTATCTCGGTTGCAGAAGGCATTAGAGATGAATAGTAGCCAGATACCTGAGTTTGTCTTTATATCTGATAGGCAGAAAGCCATCACAGATGCTGTGGAAAGAAAGTTCCCCAAATCTTCTCATGCAATTTGTATGCGGTACTTGAGTGAAAGCATTGCTAAAGAGTTCAAGAATTCCAGGCTTGTAAATCTCCTGTGGAAAGCTGCATATGCCACCACCACTAGTGGTTTTAAAGAAAAAATGGGAGAAATCGAGGAAGTTTCTTCAGATGCAGCAAAGTGGCTTCAGCAGTATCCTCCTTCGTGTTGGGCATTGATGCATTTTGAATCAACACGATATGGTCATTTCTCTTCCAACACTGAAGAGTTCAATCAATGGATTCACGAGGCCCAGGAGCTTCCCATAATTCAGGTGATCGAACGGATTCACAGTAAAATAATGGACGAGTTTGAGGCACGTCGTGCAAAGAGTAATGCATGGTTTTCCTTTCTTGCCCCATCCACCGAGAGGCGGGTTTTGGAGGCCATGGACTCCGCTTCCAAATATCAAGTACTAAGATCAGATGAAGTAGAATTTGAAGTCATATCAGGCGAACGATCAGACATTGTGAATATTGGCACCCATTCTTGTTCTTGTCGCGACTGGCAGCTGTATGGGATACCCTGTTCTCACGCCATCGCTGCCATCATCTCATGCGGAAAAGATGTATACGCCTTCACGCAGAAATACTTCACCACTGAAAGTTATCGCGCAACTTATGCAGGAGAGGTGCGCCCCATCCCTGATAAGATTGCTTGGAAGAAAGAAGGCGAGCTCACGATAAACGATGATGCCCGCATTGTCCGGCCTCCAAAATTTCGTCGGCCGCCTGGCCGGCCTGAAAAAAAGCGACTGTGTGTTGAGGATCTGAATCGAGAAAAGCACACTGTCCATTGTAGCCGGTGCAATCAAACGGGGCATTACAAGACAACCTGCAAAGCTGAGGCTGTGAAGAGTATTGAACAGTTTTAGATGTTTTAGTTCTGCAAAACTGCAACATATATAATACTGTATCATATCATTTTGTGAGGAGATCATACACTATTTAGGTGTTGTAAAATAGGGAAGCTTTTATGTGTATGTATGTATATATATATATATATATATATATATATATATATATAAAATAGCGTTTTGGAAACATAAATACTAAGAGGTGTCATTATACATTGAACATAAATACTGCTGCGGTCTAGATATTTTTTCCTCTTTTGTGTGATGCATATACATTGAGCATACATTTAAGCTGACTCAAATCTTTTTCATGGCATATAAATTTTTGAAAAATTGATACCTTCAGTTTTTTTTTTTTTTTTTTTTTTTTTTTTGCATACAGCATTCGATATTCCAAGCCCGAGAAGAGCCAACCCACAAGTGGAAAAAAATTAGCCAAATTTAGAAGACTTTTATATCAATCGTTATACCGTGAATTAAAATTCATGTGTAAGGAGGAATATAATTTATTATTATAAACCTCAATCTATGATGTAATTTGCACTTTTACATCGTTAAAGGGTTGTGTCGAGTGGCTAGAGATATACACATTAGAAAACTCCTAATCTAGATTTATTTCAAGTCATGATTCTTATATTGAGAAAAATATAATCATAAATTCTTAATAAATTGTCAAATTTAATCTCTAAAAATTATACTTCCGTTGCTAAAAAAAATTTAAAAATTAAATTAATTTAAATTATAAGTGATAACAATAAATAATGGGTAGACTTATATGTTGAGAGTTGGGACTAGGGCTTGGAGGGTCGAGTTTATGCCATCAAACTGTGGCACTGTGACTTATCCTGAATGAATGTGGTTAAATAGTTAATATTTATCTACTTATCACCAATCGATTTTAAGAACGATGAGATCTGACAACCAAATAACTAAAGAATGCTGTGATTAAGCGCGCAACGGTGAGATCTAACATTACACCATGGTTGACTAACAATATCGTCATTTATAAATTTTATTATAGGAAATCATGTTTTTTAAAAGAAAAATACTTCATGAGGCTTACTATGAAAGAGGAGTGACAATGAAAAAAAGGAGGAAAAAGTAAAATTCCAAATCAGAACAATATCTGTGTCTTTCAGTACGAGTCAAATACATTCCTGGATGCGTAGACGGCAGAGGTATATAATAAGGTAGTAGAAGGAAAGCGAGCAGATCCAGATCCCACCTCCATTCCATCTCTACCTCAACAGATCTCCCTCTCAGGTAACTCTCTCTCTCTCTCTCTCTCTCTCTCTCTCTCTCTCTCTCTCTCTCTCTCTCTGGGTCTTCATTTCGAACTGGGAACTGTAATTCTCTGTATGCCATTTAGGTTCGCTTTTCCGTCTAGTTTAAGTTTTGGGTTGCTTTTCATAGTTCAGAAAAACGTCAAATTTTGTTACTTTTTTTCCGGGTCTTCTGGGCTTCTTTATCTTCCCTTCAGCTCATAACTCGTTGGTTAAAGTTGTAATCTTTTGAGTGAAATGACATGGTATTATCCGAGATATATGTGGTTCTGCTTGTTGCAAGTTCTGCTTCATTGATTAATGGGGTAGTAAGTATGGAAGAGATTCTCTGCCTTGGTTGAATGTTTCTGTGTCTTTTCCTCCTTTGCATCTAAGCTTAATTAAGGTGTCCCTTTTATAGAAACAAACCAATTCCAGGCTGCTTGAGGTTTCCTTTGTCTTTTTCTCATTATATTTTCACATAATCATAACTTGTCATTAGCAAGTCACCTTTATGGAAATAATCCCAATTACTGGCTGTCTTTGAGGAATATTTTCTTTGGTGGATAATGTGCCTAGTTGATCCCAAAGTCAAGCATCTTCTGCTAACTGATAGTTTTTCATATGACTTGTGAACTTGGATTAGTATTTCTTGACCTCAAATTTGACAATATTTAAAGTTCAAAGTGTTTTGGGATTAAAGAATTCTTCTGTGGTTTTTTTTTTTTTTTTTTTTTTCAATTAATACTTGTCATATGTTGTACTCAGTACCACGCCGTGCTTGCTAATTGCAACTCCATTACAATGTCGAGAAGGCCAAATACATCTCGCCGTCTGATGGATGCTGGGAGCCTTCCATTTGTAGGCTCCCTGCATCCCAAATCACGCCCCTCTCCTTTTTTGTCTCTAGGGCTTGTGGTTGTGGTAAGTATTAATTCATTTCTTTAAATCCATTTTTTGCTATGTTTGCGTGTGTGTGTTATAGGCTTATGGGATTATTTATAATGTAGTATTGTCCAGTGTTGCAAAAATCGCGCCTAGGTGCCGATTAATCGGTGCCTCCTAGGCGCCCGCCTAGAGGGCGCCTAGCGATTTTTTCAACATTGGTACTGTTGTTGACTAGTGAGGAAGTGTAGTTTAACGAAATGTCCTCAACATCCTAGACACTATAATACTCAGTTGCTTTAAGATATATGTATTATTGCTGTGTAAGAGGGTTTATATATTTTGCAGGGTGCATTGCTGATTATTGGCTATCTACACAGTGGATCAGGTATATATTGTCCTATATACTTGAGTATTCTTTTACCGAAGAAGATTTTATCGGACCATGTAATGGGTTATCCTGTGTCGCTTGAGGCTGCTGAACCAACCCATTTTTTGGTTTACATTGACATAGTTTATTCTTCATGATAGGTGGAAGAGCTGGATTAGAAGCGTATAACAGACTCGAAGGTATTTCCTATGATTACTCTTTTGAGTTTGTTTATGATGCTATTTCAAATCACCAGTTGATAGTAGATAACGATATAACATGGTTAATCATTTCACTTCGTTCGGAGAAAGGTACATGATAATAGAATGTTGTTGCACTTTATGTGGATATCTGTCTTGCATAGGTTTTTCACTAAGCGAATAAAGGCATTTTATTTTCTTCTGATTGTTAAAAACCTTACAGCATGTTTGGTTCATGGAATAGGTCAGGAATGGAATAATATTCTTGGAATAAACCTATTCCATTGTTTCTATTCCTTTAACCAACCAAATACTGGAATATAATTTCTAAAGTCTATTCCTTCAGCGAACCAAACAATATAATACAATTCATGTTCTATTCCTTACCTATTCCATTCCCTATGGAATAGCATTCTTATTCCCTCAAAATTCATTCCATGAACCAAACATGCTGTTAGTGTCTATTCATTATAATGTTAGTATTTATTAAAGGTCTAACTTTCCGTTCTATATATGTCTTTACAAGCCACAGCCATTGGGCTTTTGTTATTTACAAGTCTCGAGCATACATTTGTGCGATTTTCCTGACTGCTATGATAAATGAAAACTTTCATCCTCATTCTTTCCAATTTAAATGCAATTATTCTAATTATTATTCAGGCTTTTGTGTTATATTTTTCAGCGACTTTTGGTTTAGCACGTAATTAATGTCCCTCGTATCACTTGATGTAGGCGGTGTTTCATGTACATTAGAGCTACAAAATGCATTGCCTGTACTGAAAAAAGCATATGGTGATAGCATGCACAAAATATTGCATGTGGGCCCCGACACCTGCTCGGTAGTGTCCACATTGTTGAAAGAAGAGGATACTGAAGCGTGGGGAATTGAACCATACGACTTAGATGAGGCCGATGCCAACTGCAAGAGTCTTGTACGGAAAGGCATAGTGCGTGTGGCTGATATCAAGTTTCCTCTTCCTTACCGTGCCAAGTCATTCTCCCTTGTCGTGGTGTCAGATGCCGTGGATTACTTGTCCCCGAGATACCTTAACAAGACTCTTCCACAATTGGCTAGAGTGGCTGCTGATGGTTTAGTCATATTATCCGGTAAATTTTGATCAACTCTTTTTGAAACATATTACAGTATCTTTTGCCAATGACCTTGTGGTCGAGTGGCACCAAGTTCCTCTCTCATATGGGAGGTTGTGGCTTCGAGCCTTAGAGGAGACAGTATTGACTCTTTGTGCTTTAATAGGTTGAGAAAGTAGTTATGAACAGATACTGCATTGTAACAGAGTCAGTAGCACTCAAAAAATATTACAGTATCTCTTAATTGGACAAGAAGGATTAGTGGATATTCCTACCATGCTGCTTAGAGTAAAGTTTCAACATTTAAAGGTTGAGTTTGTGAATTTTCAAACCAATTTCTAGGTTATCCCGGTCAGCAAAGAGCTAAAGCGCCAGAGATGTCTAAATTTGGGCGCCCTGTAAGTCACCAAATTCTTATTTCGAGATTGATCATTGTTCTTAATGGTGCCATCCCCGAGAACTATATCTTTGTTTTGTTTTTTTTTTTTTCCTGAAAAGGCCAAATTGAGAAGCTCATCGTGGTGGATAAGGTTCTTCGTTCAAACGAGCTTAGAAGAGAACGAAGCTGCAACAAAGAAGTTTGAACAAGCGGCCGCCAAAAGATCTTACAAGCCAGCCTGCCAAGTTTTCCACCTGAAGCCACTCCACTAACGATGCCTTAGCAAGCGAGGAAGCATTATCGCCCACAGGCCGGCCACAGCCTGTTAAATTATTTTGACGAAATTACAGTCTCTCCAGTTCTGCAAAAGCTAGATCTGCTGTTTAAGATGGTATTGGTTTGCTGCATAGATTGTTCTTTTGATAATTGTAAAAGAAAAATAAAACTAGTAATTTAATTCTTTTTTTCCCCCACTTTTTGGGCATGTACTCTCATTGACAATATTTATATAGTTGCTGGTTTTGCCTAGAACTTTATTCCAGAATGAAGTGATATTGCTGATATCTTTGGCCAGCAGATTACTTGCTTACGATCTGTGAAACAAAAAAGGAAACCTCCCATAATCTTGCCCGGGGTTCGATTCTTATCACGAGCATTAGAAATTTGAGCTTTTTGTGTGTAGATTTGTTCGATTTATCAAGAGTAAATACCCAAAATGGTCCATCGACTATAGCTAAATTCACAAATTGGTCCTCAACTTTCAATTTCACCCAATTAAGTCCTTAACTTTGCAATTTTGACACGATTTGGTCCTCTATCTAATTGACCGTTTGTTGACCGTGATCGACGATCTCTAGAAGAACCTTCAGCTCTCGTCGGAGCACGCGGAGGCCTCTAGGTTGACGTTGTACCAGTTCGAAAACACGTCGTCTTCTTCGCTCTGGTACGAATTCAACTACATTGAATCCAAAGGGAGGATGAAGAAGGTAACCGGGTTTGGTAGATTGCTTTCGACAGTGGATTCAAATGTAACAGTGCGGTCTGAAAATGCAACCGAAACCTTAAAAAATCGACGATGGACCATGAATTTACATATATATCCTCAAAAATCACAGTCAACAAACGGTCAAATAGACAGAGGACCAAATTGTGTTAAAATTACAAAGTTAAGGACTTAATTGGGTGAAATTAAAAGTTGAGGACCAATTTGTGAATTTAACTATAGTCGAGGGACCATTTTGGGTATTTACTCATTTATCAAAGTTAAGTTATCAAATAAAAAAGAAAAACATCGCCAGGTTATCAAATAAAATGAAAAGAAATTTGCTATTGCCGGGGATCAAACCCGGGTCACCTGCATGACAGGCAAGAATACTCACCACTATACTACAACGACTTTGTTGTTTGTTATGGGACAAGAAGGTTTAATATAAGTAAACCAAATACAATGATAGTAGTTCCAACTTCCAACTACAATCTCAAGAACTTGGCTTCTATAACAGTGTTTGCAAGAAAGAATTGGAAAATGAAAGTGAAAACCTATTTATTCTTAAATTATAGAGTAATAATATCATAAAAATCGAAATTTCTCTGGTAACCGTATCGTCATGATTAATACTCGAGAAGGAAGCATTCTCTTGGGAGGGAATTCTTAAATCTTCGGAAATCCATGCAATAATCATAGATAACGTGGTATCTTTTGACCCATCTGAACAGCCTTCTTTGAGCCCATGTTAAAGTGCTTGATCTCTCATTATTCCACCAATTTGCAAGGCCACCTGACCAGCAAAATATGGGATTCCCTCCCCACACACAGGCATCAATCCTGTAGTCCCTGAATGTGGCTATGAAGGGTGCCTTTAACCAATCTATTTTCACTCTTCCTCCCTCAGTTGCCCAGCTGTCGCCGTCCCATACGCTGAGCTTCAGCCCCATTGGCTGCCACCTCGGATATGCCACCCCTCTATCTACATGGTTCCTGTATGTTCTTATCGGTACCCAGTCCACCATAAACCTGCAAATTCATAAGTTTAATTGATTTCAGCTATTATTTGAGAGTGTAAAATTATGTGAATTCTGTCTCGTGACTTTGGTTGGTAAATCACCATGAAGAGATAAATCAATCTATATTGTTCATAACTAAGTGTTCAACAATCTGCTAGCTAGGTATAGGGCTAGCCAGTCACGTGGACTGCAGATGCTCATGACTTTGGCATGACTTTGATATTAAATTGAAGTATGTGCTCCATCTCAACTAAAAGTTTAACCTTATAGTTGGATTGCACATTAATGGTATATGCTCAACGTTATGATCAATATTATAGAGCTTAATCATCTCAGAAAATGGTTAGGTTAGAGTGAATTAAAATGCTTACACGATTTGGTGGAGGTTCCATAATATAGAATAGGTGTGGAAGTCTTTGGTTGGGTCAAACCACAGCCTAATCCTATGCTCTCTGTTGCCATACCCATCAGCAAAAACATTGGTCTGAAGAATGCATGGCTTCCCGGGTTCATTTCCCAGGAATTCAAAGTCCAACTCATCACGGTTCGGCTGGTCCGAGGTTAACTGCATCATTATATTAACTACCAACATAAGTCTTTCATATCATCATTACACTCTGTCGGATTATGTTCATTTCGATCAAACACACTTACATAGAATGCCACGACAGTGCCGGCAGAATTCCCAGGAATCAGTTTAATCCTCATGTCGAACTGACCGAACAAGTACATATCCTTGGTTGCCATTACACTTCCTACCAAAAAAAAAAAAAAAAAACTTAACTATATTTTCTTCTCGGTTGAATCCCCAACCCTAAGGACCCCACACTCCGACCCGGGATAACTATATTTTCTTGATTCCATAGGTGGGCATAATTTGGATTAATAATTATCTGAACTAACATCAAACTAATTTTGAATTTTAGGTTAGTATTCGTTTAGATAATTTTTATAATTATGATATATTTAAATATAGATTCTGTTCAATATCATACCTAACCTAAATTCGAAATTTTATTATAAATATAAAAATATAAATTATATATTGACTATTACATTATTTCATAATTAATTTTATACTCCTTATTAATTTTCAAAATTTTCTTAGTTAATATAGTATTTTGTCTTATTTTAAGTTTGATAGAGTATACAAAAAATTATAAATATATCAATAATAAAATAATTTAAAAACTCAAAATTGATATTTAAAAAAAAAAAATAAGTATACCCAAATTTACTCGAAATAAACCCAGAATAGTTTCATTTGTACCAAACATAACTGAATTAAATTTAGTTAAAATATGAAGAGTAAAAAACATCACTCAAAATTTTCAAATACTCAAAAGAAAATTCAAATATTACTGAATCGAACCGACACGTACCATCCCTTAGATAAAAAAAAAATATTTGTAGAATGACAGCTTCAATTTATAGATTACCTCGAAATAAACCAAAATATTTTATGTATACCCAAATTTACTCGAAATAAATTCAAAGTATTTTCACTTTTTTGATATAACAAATAACACCACTACCACTACACCACCACCACCACCATAATATTTTTGATATATTATTAGTTATTATTTTATTATATTTAAAATTATTATTATATTATTATATATTATTATACATGTTGTAATATTCTAAATAAAATAATTAAAATGTTTAATTATACAATTCTACTCATTTTCCAGAAAATGAACCAAACACACAAAAACAGTTTTCCAGAATGCAACCAAACACTGGAAAGGAAAATGTTTTCCGGAAAATGACTCATTTTCCAGAAGTCATTTTCTAGCTTTCCAAACGGACCCTTAGTTAGAATATGGAAAGTAACAAAATAAAATTCAAATATCACCGGAATCGAACCGACTCCCGCCCCTACTTGTTGAGAAATTATGTAAAACTTTATAGATTACCAGAAGCACGGTCGAGTTTCAAGCTTCTTGATCGGCCATCTGGGGAAGTAATTACATGGGTAGGGCCCCATGCCACGAAGAAATCTCTGTTGAAATCTCCAGTGGAAACCACAGAAGCTATTGAAACATGGAACTTCAGAATGCTAAGAAAGATTATTATTATTGCAGCAACGATGAGTCTGCAGATGTTTCTTCCCATGATTCTTTTTGAAGATCAACAATGGAGGATTTTATTTGGTGGGAAGTTTAACTAACGAAAGAGAGAGAATATATATATATACATAGGTATGTATTGCATGGGAATGAAGATTTATATATATTATATATGGTGAGGGGATAGATGAAGAGAACCATAAAGAGTCATGCTTAAGCAAGAAATATCTTTAGTAGGAAGCAAAAGAATATTAATTAAGCTGCATTTTTACTATATAATTATGCCATAATGACGATGGGTTGAACTCCATAATTAAAGATTACAATCTAACTTCCTAGTTTTGCTTTATACTATTTGGCCAACTTTGTTTGTTTGTTTCTTAATTCAGCGCGCTAACTATTACTTAGTATTAATTAAAGAATATAATGCCGACACGAACTTAGTTAGCTTTAGCTAGCTTAATGGTTCAGTATGCAATATTTAACAGAAGAGACCAATGTTTGAATCTGCGGGCAGATCCCTTTGACCTGGTTCAGACAGGCTTGTGTGTAAGAAACTTTTGTAAACATCTAAGAATTAAAAATGGTGGAAAGGTAAAGAAAGTGATCAACTGACAATCTTCATCTTTTGGCAATCTTTCTCATTATCTTCAATTCTACACCCAACTTCATAACTATCTATGCCTTAATTAGCTTCATCCCATTATTATTCTTTGCCTCTTTCTTGCTCTTAGCTTGCTCACTTCTTCTATACTTATTAAATAAAATATCAAAATAAAAAGTAAAAACATTTTTATTCTTAAAAAATTATTATTATTATTGACTTAGGATGTCGTAGAATTTGGTGTGTATGATATGATACATGATCATCAATACTTAGGAAGAGAGCATTCCAAAGGGATGGAACCGTTAAATCTTTGGCTGTCCGTACAATAGTCATAGGTAATTTGGTACTTCATGACCCATTCGTACAGGCCTCTTTGAATCGGTGTTAGAGTGCTATAATTGTCCTGATTCCACCAATTTGAAGGCCCATCTGCCCTACATTCGGAGGGGTCCCCTTTCCACACACAAGCGTCTATGGTGTAGTCCTTGAATGAGGCTATGAAGGGGGCCTTTGACCAGTCAATCTTCACTCTGCCGCCGTCAGTTGCCCAGCTGCTGCCGTCCCATAAGCTAATCTGCGCCGGCGCCGGCTGCCCCATTGGATATGCCACCCCTTTGTCTGCATGGTTCCTGTATGTTCTTATGGGTACACTGTCCACCATAAATCTGCAAGTCCACACAAGTTTTAATTTAATTTTACTTTCCCCAAATTTGAGTTGAGTGCCTTGAAAGTGAGCAAACTTTCAAGTTTTTCGTAATTGTAGGGTAGCTAGTTCATAGGGAATAAATAGATGACTAAAACTAGTTGAATTTCTAATAATATAATAAGATGCATGGTTACGTTATAGAGTTAAAATATAAAGTTTACTTCCAAATTTTACTCCCTCAAATTTACTCTCTAATATGACGGACTCTGATAGGTTATTTTCTTCATGTGGGCACCATAAAAGTGTTACATGTATCACTAATTTAAGGAGTTAATTCCATCGAAGGTTCCTTGTCTTTAGTATCAATTCCAAATTTAATCCCAGACTATCGTTTTTACCATTATACATCACAAATTGTCTTTTTTGGACACTTTTAGTCATTCTCATGATTTTTTTCTATTTTTAGTAAGGCATTTTTGTCGCTTCATTTTTTTTTTGTTATTTTTTCCGGTTTCAACCCGTTTAATTGGTTTAGGACTTTACTAAAAATTGGTTGAAAAATATGATTACTAAAAATCATAGGTTACCTAAAGTTTTAAACCAATTAAACTGGCTGAAACCGAAAAAATAACAAAAGAAAAATATGAATAGACAAAAATGCCCTTACTAAAAATATAAAAAATTATAAGGACTAAAGTGTCCAAAAACGATAGTCTGAGATGTAAAATGACAAAAATGATAGTGTGAGACTAAATTTATAATTACCACCAAAGACAATGGATCTCTGATAAAAATAACTCCTAATTTAAGTGTGGGAATAAAAATATGAAATATGAAATGGGAGTATAACGTTAGCTTACACGATATGGTAGATGTTCCATAATATAGTATAGTTATGGAAGTCTTCTGTTGGATCAAACCACAGCTTAATCTTCTGCTCTCTTTCGCCATATCCATTCGTAAAAACATTCGTCTGAAGAGTGTATAGATCCCCGGCCACATTCCCCAGAAATTCAAAGTCCATCTCATCACGGCTCGCGGCCGGATCTGACATTAACTGCAACATATATCATTTAAAAAGATAACTAATCATCAATTGCTCCACATCCGGATCCAATTTTACGCGTTTAGTTCCGTTAATGAGATTTGAATTGATCGACAAGTAAAATGAAACACAAGACTTACATAGAAGGCGGTAACAGTGCCGGCAGAATACCCAGGAACCAGTTTCATCTTCATGACGAACTGCCCAAACAAGTACTTATCCTTGGTCGACATTGATGAACTTGCTAATTAATTAAAACACAGAATTAATGAAGAAGGTTAGTTCAATTCTTAGCTATATATGCTTTAATTTCTTGATTTATATATATTATGTATGTTTTGTGGATTACCAGCGGCGGTGTCGAGTGTGAGGCTTGTTGATCGGCCATCTGCAGAAGTGTTTATATGCCCGGGGGCTGCATATATCACAAAGAAATCTTGGTTGAAATCTCCAGTGGAAACCACAGAAGCCAATGAAACATGGAAGAGTAGTAGTGCGCTAATAAGGAAGATTATTGCAGTAAAGAAATTTCCCATGGTTTCTTTTGAAGGTCAACAATGGAGGGTTTAATTTGGTGGGAAGTTGAAAGGCAGAGAGGGATTATATATAGGTATTGCATGGGAATGAAGGTGGTGATCGAGGATAACAAGGTAGAAAACCAAACCTAAACAATCATGCTTAATTAAGGAAGCACAAGTTTTTTTTGAGTGACTCGAGAAATCTATAGTTACACTACTGGAAATTATGAAATTTACGATCACCTGAAAGTGATTTTAAATCAAGTTGAAAGCAAAAAGTGGTCGGAAATAGCAACAAAAATTTTTTCGGATACCAAAAATGGTCAGAACAAGACTTTCAACTTGATTTAAGATACTTTCAGGTGGTTGAAAATTTCATAATTTTCAGTAGTGTTATAACGGGTATGCAATGGATAAAAATTACTAATGTATAATAAACCTAAATAGGAAGCAAATTAAAGGAATATCAATAATAAGATGTGCTTTTAATTTATTACTAATATAATATAATTATGCCATATTGGCAGTGAATTGAACACCGGCCATATTGCATATTGGATTCCAGCTTTCACAAAAGTTTTGCTCTATTTACGCAACTAGTAATTGTCACGTACCATGCACGAACTATTATTAATTTAACAAATTTACCAATTAAATTTTTGACATTCTCTGAATTAGTAAAGAAAATAATAATTGTAGAAACAAAAAAACGTACTTGAATTTTTTAGCTCAAAATTAGTTTGATTAAAAATGTAAGTATAACTATATACAATGTAATATTTAATATTTTTAAAAGTTTAATTATGTTATTATTATGTTTATTTTAAATTTATTATTACTTGTATTATTATTTGAATTTAATTTTTTTTAAAGGAATTTGAATTTGAAATAACTACTTTAATTATATAATAACTAACGTATTTAAATAAAACTTGTAAATAAAATAATAGGTGATATTTGTCGAAATCTCCACCAGAAACTTATTCATTTGAAAAAAGACTATTTATGTAAGAACTAAGGGTGTGTTTGGTTGGTGGGTTTTGCCTATAGGAATGGGTATGAAAGTGATTGTTGTTGTTTGGTTGATAGGTTTTTAGAACACTATTATGGGTTTTGAATACCCTCATCAATTGAAAAACACATACTCAAATAAAATAAGGGTTTCATTCCCTTGTTCATTCTCAAGCACTGGTTGCACTGCTATTAGTAATCATTCTCATTCCACCAACTACCAAACATGTTAAATACTTTCACCAAAACCCATTATCATTATCAAGTATTTGATACCCATTCCGATTCGGATTCCTATGTGCGAACCAAACACACACTATATTTATTTTATATCTAATTTATCATCTTTATATATGTGGAGTCAAATTAATTATAATTGAGGTTTAAATAAATATATACACAAATTATATTAAATATAAAACTTTACCAATAAATTTTTCCATACTTCATTATGCTTTAATATATATAGAGATAGAGCTATAATAATAAAATATAATTTATAAAATATAAATACACATAATAACTTCAAAAAAAAATGTATAAATACATCTACCCACACAATTAATACATTCATACTTGATAATCTTATTTCTATGAAAACGCATTCACACTTTGGAGGAAAAATTTTGTGGTTAGCTTCTGCTTTATTATATATATATATATATATATATATATATATATATATATATATATATATATATATATAAAGAAGATAAAGATTTGACCAATTTTATTTATTTATCAAATTCAACATTAGCTATTAATTACTTAGTTTATGAAAAAAGTATCAAATAAGTCATCCAATTACACAGCAATTTGTAATTGGGTCATCGAACAAAAAAAATTACAATTAAATCCTAAACAATACAAAATAATACATTTAAACTTAAAATGACATGTTGACCTATTAACATGCTGACATGGCGGTTACCAAATTAAAAAAAAAAAAAATCACATTTTATTTTATTACATTTAAATAAAATTAGTATTAGAAAAATAAAAAACAAAAAATAAAAATCGACCCCCACCCATGTTCTCCTTCTCTCTGCCTCAACGGAGAAGGCAACCTCACCTTCTATGTTTTTTTTTTTAAATGTAAGTAATTATTTTATTTAAATTTATTAAAATAAATTTTTTAAAAAGATGTCCAAGAATGAATAAGGGGTAGAATTATTGAATGATGAATACAATATTAAGAAAAAATGTCAGCATGAAAAAGTAACAATATTAAGAAAAGATGTCTAAGAATGAATAAGGGGTAGATTATTACTGAATGATGAATACAAGTTGGGGCTAAATGCGTTTGGTTAAAAACCATAGCCTAGCTTGTGTGTAGTATCCCGGCCAACTCGCAGCAGATTTGAAAGTGTGCACCGGATAAACACTGTTTTTGTGTAATAGCTTAACTTGCAAGTTACACATACGAGATAAATTACATTAAGAATACCTTCTGTCAGTTGTGTAACAAACTACTAAAAATAACATCTTAAGGTATATGTTAAAATCCTATTTTGACTAAATTTTTGTCTCAAATATTATATCAACCAAAATTAGACAGATGCCAGGATCTTTAGCAATCATTAAATAACTATCCATATAAAATAATACACTTCATCATAAAGTCACACATAGCAAACTAAACTAAAAACGCAATTAAGTTTAATCCAATATAAACAATTACCAAGTATTATTACTTGGTAAAGAAAGCACAGCACTTCACAAAAATATTACAAAATATCATTTTGAAAGGTCCCACCGAGATTTGAACTCGGGTTACTGGATTCAGAGTCCAATGTCCTAACCACTAGACCATGGGACCAAGCCGTTTGTTTACTCTTATTTTCTAGTCTACATCACTTCACAACAATATAACCATTGTAAAAGGTCCCACCGAGATTTGAACTCGGGTTACTGGATTCAGAGTCCAATATCCTAAACCACTAGACCATGGGACCTAGCCGTCTATAAGACTCTTATTGTTTAATCTTTTAACAAAGTTAACTATTAACTATTAATGCACTATTAAAAAAGTTTTTATTCCATTTCCAACTAAAAGTTAAATTTTGTGGTGTGACCTTTGGTGAATTTAAATTAATACCTTGATAGGGAAGATAATGAGTGTCATATGCAAAAACAAATTAACACATTATAATAATAACCATGATTTCTTACTTTGGTTTATGGATAAACCTACAACTATTATTTGAATGTGTGTTCTTAGTGAAGTCCGTTTTATGATTCTAGTGGCCAAATAACTACAAAGAGGTAAGCCATCATATGTTGCTCATAACGGCTCAACCCAAAAAGATTAATAGAAAATTATACATAAAGTCAAACTTAAAGCCTTATAATTTACCAAACTAATGGTTCCAACAAACTTAAATAGGCTAAGCATCTTGTGCTTATATGATATGTAGTGACCTCTTTTATATGGGAGGTTATAAGATTACTGTGAAAGCGTTATTAACTTGTTGTGCTTCAATAGGTTGAGAAAGTATGATGTTTCAATGTATTAATTTATTAACAACAACTAATATCACGCGGAATTTCATTTTAAATTATTGTTGAGTGCATGTTCAATTATTTCCATTAGTAGTTAATATAGAATAAATCAATTTCATATGAATTGGACTCGAGTAAATGAATTCTCTTTTCCTTGAATATGTATTGTCCTAGTGATTCAAGAAATATGAATGTATCGCCTATCCAAGCATATTTTAATTCCAATAAGGAACAACGCACGTCACTTTCCTCTGATCCGTTTAAAATTCTTGCTATAGGAGTAGCTTACTATTCTAACAACTTCAATCACCGCAAATTATGCCCTGAAAACCATGGTGAACACGGGTCCAAACGACGTCATTTTTACGTTAAAAAAAAAATAAATCGCGGATATAGTTTTAACGGCGCACGTTTGATCAGATTATGAATTTTCTGTTATGAGATTATGAATGTACTGCATAATCTCATAACAGAAAATTCATAATCTCATAACATTAAATTCATAATCTCATAACAGAAAATTCACAATTTATGAATGTTGAAGAAGCTTGCGCTACAGAGGAGCAACCATGGTTTCGGACGGGAATGTGTAGGCATGGTTCCAAAGTGAATGTGCAAGCATGGATTCATAATTTATGAATGTCCGAAATCATTACTCACCTCAAATTAAAGTGAAACCGCGAAATGTGAAAATGAAGAATAAAAATCACGCGATTAATTAAGAAAAAAAAAAATAACGGTGCACTAACACCATTGGGACCGTGTTCACCATGTGAACACAATTCCATAGCATAACTATTGTTCAATCACAATTGAAATTAGTATTAAACTATATTTCAAAAAAGTAATTGGAATAGTGAATCCCTAATCTCGAATCTCACACCATTCCCAAACGAGTGTTTGGTAAACCAAAATCAGCAAAAGAATAGAGGAACAAACAACCACCTGGTTTGGCCCATTAATGGAAACCTCCGAGTCCGTTTAGAGTCCAATTTCTTCTTTTTTCCGTTCTTCTCAGCTGCGAGTTCACAACGCAACCGTTATTTGCTGCACTAGACTAGATCCGAGCGAGAAAACTGAGCTTTAGTGGAAGACAGGAAGACGTTCTCGAGGGCCCGTCATATCTCTCCCACGAATAAAGTGCAGTATAGAACCACTGTTCTTCTTCCTACTTCTTTATTCATTGCTCTGTGGTTACTCCACTGATTTCTCGCCCATTTCCAGGTATTTTTGTTGGACTTTTTTTTTTTTTTTTTTTTTTTTTTGTATGATTATAGTTCATTTCACATCCTGTGGTGTATTGTTTAGTGGTGTTGAGTTCATATGCAATGTATTGTTCTGTATATATCTTTAGCTTTTAGTGCAATAATGAACTAGAAGGAATGAAGGATCAATCGATTGATGAATTCCGGGTTTAAGGATTGGGAATTTTGTAATTACAGTGGAGACGTTTTGGAGGGTTTGTTTGGTCGTGGGATTTGATGTTTCTGTTCAATTGTGAATTGTCCAGTTAAGCTGTCGGTTTTCTGGTTTCATTTGTTGATAGTGAGCATGAAAGTTTATGGAATTTCCATTGAATATGGCATGATTGAGAGGATGGAAGGTTGTTTGTTAGTTTTGTGGCTAATTAGGATGTTGAAGTTGTTAATCAAGTTGTATCTTGGTGGATTTGTAGTGGCAGGCTGAAAGCAATTAGGAGCTAAGCTTTGGTGTAACCTCCATTAATCTGAAGATGATTAAACATTCACCAGCAAACATTAGAGAAATGAACATGAATGTTGTTCATAACTATGAAGAACACTTGTAGTCGGGTGCACGAAGCACAGTAGACCCGGTTCCTGATATGGTTTGCTGGTTAGGAAGTCTGGAGTACTAGGTAGAGAATTGCTTCGATCCATGGAGAAACATTTTTTTAGGTTTTGAGAAGCGTTGATGTTTCCTTGGTCTACTCTATGGTTGATTGTATGCAGTATGAAGTGAATATTGATCATGTATTTTCTTTTATTTGGTTAACATGCTTCCTCAATTTGATATTTTGACAATTCGTCTTTAAAAATGTAGAGTTAAAGCAAAGTTGTTCCATTTCGAGTGCTTTATGAAATTATATTGGCTTGCCTTAGCTCTTTGAGAAGTGAAGTCAATTACTGTATATACTTCTCTCAGCTTTTGCAGTTTATGTTGATCGGTATGCATGTCTTATCTAGACTCTTACATTCTTAACTTGACATCATGTTCAGGGACAGGAATATACTTCCCATCTCTCATCATGTTCAGGCAGTCACCTACAAGTAGGAACCATAGGTCAAAAGGATTCAAGTCCAAGCATGTTCTGCAATTCTGTCTGTTGCTTGCTATTTGCTTCTGGTTGATTTATCAAGTCAAACGCTCCCATGAGAAAAGGAAAGAATTTGATGAAAATGATTCCAAGTTTTCACTAAAGACGGAAAGCAGCTTTGTGCCTACAATGTGGGGAAGGAAAGGTCTCCTTCCCCGTTCAGAGGAAATAACCTTACCTAATGGCAAGCAAGATAAGCAGGTGGAAGATGAGAACCCAGAAGAAGATGAAGAGAATAAGCCTGAAGAAGAAGAAGCAGAGCAAGATCAAGACAGCAAGTTTGAAGAGGAAAATGATGAAGATAGAGGAGGTGGAGATGATATGGTTGACGAACATAATCAAGAGAAGTCGGATGAAGAGGTTGAACAAGAGGAAGAACTTGTTGATGATGAGAAAGATAGAGGAGAGGTTGATGAAACTGACATGAAAAATTCCGAAGAGAATAATGGCCATGAGGAAGATGAGAATTCTCAGGACCATGAGCTTGATGAAGACTCCAGGAGTACACATGAGGCGCAGGAGGAACTTTATAAAGCAGATGATGCTTCAAGTGCAGTGACTCATGATACACAAACGGTTACCACTGAAAATGAGAACGGTGGCTTAGAGGCTGCTAATGAGAATGCTGAAGTAAAAATTATTGAGCATGAAAGCAATCCTGACAAGAATATTAGTTTTGTTCAAAACATAACACTGTTAAAGTTGGATGATCATGAAACAACCGGGAGTAACAGTTCCTTAAATACAACAAGCCACGAAGAAAGTATTCCTGAGCATGTCTCATCGGATTCTAAGAATACCTCAATTGTGAATCTTAGGAGTGTAGTGGAATCAAACAATACAGAAGTGAGTGGAGAGACACATAACGTATCCTTGCAGAATTTAACACAATCAAGTTTTGATTCTACCATTGATGGTAATGTCACTACGAATGAAACAGCTGGTAGGGAAGACTCTAAGTTGCCAACCGCTGTTATGCAGCACACTCAGTCTGATTCTAACTTAACTTCCATACAAAATGAGGATTCAAACTCAACCTCGGTAAATGCCACACATGAAGATGGAGCAGGGGATAAGTCACACACTTTGGGAGCAGACACCTCCAATGAGGTTGAAGCTGAGACATCCGAAACTGGTGGAATAGATGAAAGGTTGGAGTTCTCAAATACCGAGAATCTAGGTGAAATTGGCCAAGATCTAATTGATCCTTCTGACACTTTCATTCCCTTAGAAGAGAAAGAGGTTGATACAGATCTGGAAACTCTTCCTGACATACAAACTGAAGGAAGTAACACTGAAGATGTTGCAGCAGAATGAAATATTTTATAGAAGATTAATGAAATAGTTTTGTTGATGCTCAAGTTTTCTCATATTTTGGGTTCTTTGTTTTATTAGTATCCCAAGTTCTGAGAGTGTTCATTTGTCTGAATTGTTGGTAGTTTTCTGGAAAACACATTTACATCCTAGCTGGCAAAATATAGGCAAGTTGGTGTATTTCAAGGGAAGTAGCTTGTACAATCATTTGTAGTTAACCACTTTCCTCTTTCATCCTTAATTTTTACTTGTGATTTCGGTATTAGCTTGTGCGTTGATCTTGAAACCTATCACTTTTAAACTCAAAATTAACCCTTCTTGAAAATTAAATTATCAATTTCTATTTTGTGACAAATCAATTTTTAAATCATTTTCTTCTCAAGTTACAACCTTTTTTTTTCTTTTTTCTTTTTTTTTTCCATTCTTTTTGCTTTTTGGTTTTGTTTTTCTAATAAGACTTTTGTTATGCCTGAATGCTGCTAGTACTCTATCATGCAATCATATTTTATGTGTTATTTCTTCACCATCTATACAACAGGCATTACAATCGTCGCTTTTCATCAAGATGGGGACATAATCCTCTTACATGTTTTCCTTGCCTTTCTGGCTTGACAGGTTTGTTTATTATGTTCATTGGGTACCCTTATGTTTTGACATGGTACCTGCTCATTTATGATTTCTTTTAATATCTAAAATTTTCAGAGACTTCATGTGTTCAGGATGTGCCCTTCACCACTCTGATGAATGTTCTAACGTATCCAGAGGTATACCACCTTATCTTTACCCTCTCCTTTAAAAGTTTTAGATAACAGTGGTAAGCAATGGAGAGACATATAAACCCTAATTTTTCTGCCCAGCAATTCACCAATATAGGAATAAGGCTTTGACGTCGAACTGTAGGTATGGCTGTAAGTCTGTAACATATTTTAAAGCTACACCCTAAACCCAAAAAAGGTGAAGCTATAATTGGGGAATATTCTGATAAGATAGTGCGCTGTGTTGTAGGTGACATATAAGTAACGGTGTGTAGTTCAAGTAGTAGCAACATTACGAGCATATCCCAACCTATCACTTGACGAGTTTCAGACTTCCGTTCTCCTTCAAAAGTCTACAGGATCAGGTTGACACTAGAGGATCCAACTGCCAGAATCCACGCTTTTCTATATAAAGATGATGTGGTAAATTGAAATTCCATTACTCACATTTTTTGTTCTAGTCTCATGATTATTATTACTACTAACTGTACTGTACAGGAAGCCATAAAAGAAAATTTGATATACTGGCATATGAATAAATGTAATTACAGCACCCAAAACACACACATGCCTATAACTGGTTACATACATTCATAAATTATATGTCCCTAATTAATCGAACTCTGAACATATCTTGCTTGGCTTTACCTTCTGCCTAAACAAATGTGTCCTACCACAACAATAAGAATTGCAGTAATGACTGGCTATTAAAATTACAATTCTTTTTCGAGTGGAACTTCCACATTTCCACTGATATATGCCTGCTTTTGTAGCTAAGATTGATTGATTATTTAGATTCTACAAAATTCTTGATAAAGCTATCTATCAATCTCATTACTCAGGAAGTATTTTTTGCTTGCTTCCCATCACCTGATGATGTATTAACAAGAGAGTGGAATGCGTTGCTTGGAATTCCCAACAGTGACGATTGTAGTGAAGTAGGTGATGCTTCTAGATACCAGCCATGGATTGATTGCTGCTTGAAATCGTATTACATCGACAAAAATGTTGTTTGGGGAAGTAGTTATTATCAGATCTTTTCCACAACTGAGCAGGTCAGTAACTCTGAATTCTGCATAATCTGTAATCTTTTTGGCACTACATCCGTAAATATGGTAGCCATAAGCATAGTAGAAGTTGCAGAATTAGTCTATAAGGTTATGTTAGCCAACTTTTCAAAGCCCTTGGTTTTTGGTCTGTCTAAGGTACTTTTTTCTAATGTACCCTGGATTCTAAATGGTTAGCTGAAATATATGTTCTGATGACAGTATTATTCCAATTCTTTGGGGAATGGTACGAGACCCAAACGATGACTTTGACCGGTTTTGATGTTTGCGTAAAAGCTAAGGAGTTGTACAATAATTGAATTTTGCCAGGCCAAAACCCACCAGGTGACACTTACAGTGCATGCCAGCCTAGACGTACCTTATGCTCCTAACTTTCGAGGAAAATGATAATTATACTAAGAATCAGGACATGTTATATTAGTAACGGACTAAAAAAGTTGAGTAGACGTAATTCTTGGCCTTAATTATGACTTAGCAATTATAGGTCTTGAACCCTGTAAAACACTTGAAAACGAAGAACAAGATTATAGTAAAATCCATAGTGTATTCATCAGAATAATAAGTCTCAAACTTTATATAATTCTTTTTTTGAGAGTTTATACCTAGGACACACTTCCTTGTCCCAATGAGAATAGGGAATACTCTCCTTGTGTCCGTATGTGTAGTTCAGTTGGTTTTTGGCTTTTAAGTGACAGATAGTTAGCGCAAGAACGCAAGGTTGATTGACACCCATCCAAGGTAGTAGACATCAAGTCATGATTCTTTCTCCCATTTAATGAATCGTTGAATCACAATGATTTATCATCTTCAGAAATCTCGTTGAATCACAATGATTTATCATCTTCAGAAATCTTGTCGAATTAAGGTGTGGGGTGCTCGAGACGAGAGATTTCACCTGACAAGGAATAAGCCGTTAGAGTAGATTGCTCAACTTTGGATTCTCATTGAGAAGCGACGCCCACATGTGATGTCAAATAAGAATTCATTCATTCCTCCTCAATCAAAACTCATCGTACAAAATACAAATCAATAAATGAATACAAATATACAATGTACAGTGGGGGGAAATGGCCAGCTAAAATGGCTGAAATTCAGGGGAATGAATCACGAGAGAATCTTCATTCTTGATCCGCTTGCCTCAACTCTTTACGTAGCTTCTGAGAAAATGAGCGACAAGCATCCATGCTTAGATCCATTGCAGCCGCCAACGCCACGAAGGCGGCGGCGTCCTCCGCGCAGCTCACGTGCTGCACCCCCACTTCCACCTCCGGCCTGCTGCGTTTTCCGTCGCCGCCCACCGTCGACGACATCACGAAACCTCTGTACAGCAGGTGGGCCCACGACCCGGACCCCTGCGTGGACCCCATCTCGGACCACGAACCCGAGCTGAAATCGAAGCTGCTGCTGGGACTAGTCAACGGCGTAGCTCCATTCATGATGTCTATGTTAAGGTTGCCGCCGCTCTTCATGCTGATTGTCGAGTTCACCAATGTGACGGTGTCTGTGATGCCGTCGGGGATTAGTTCAAATCGGAACCCTAGGGGATCGCCGGCGCCGCTCTCTCGCCACGCCTCCAGGCGGCCCCACGGCTTCCAAGTGCCCTGGCCGGGGCGGAGAATGAGCCACGCCCCTGGATTCGACCGGCTGACTCTATCACTCCCCGGCGACGGAACAAATGGCGTCACCATTGACGCTACCGCCACCGGCGAGCCGGAGATGTCGTGGATGGTGATCGACCATCCTTTCCGCTCTTTCGCCGGTTTTTCGTTCTCATCTGACCCGCTAAAGCAGTTTGCGGATGTGCTCGGCTCTGAAAGTGAAGATCTGTGCAATAAAATAACACCGAAATTATTAGAAACCATTGTCAATTAACCATGACTAAACCCTAAAAATTCAATCTTTTCTGAAAACCCAAACGAACCTGGATCTCAAGCTCCGATCGCCGCCGTTTCTGAAACTGAACTTGCAGGAGAAAACCGGCTGCTTTACATTCCCGTTGACCTGAAACACCTGGGGACTGCATTCGGGTTCTCCGTCAAACTGGAACACAAATCTCGGGTCGGGCTCGGACTTTACATTAACATGCAGAACCGCATCAGAAGAACCCTTAATTTCGACCCACCCGTTCTGCAAAACACACCCTCTGCTACTGCTCGCGCTGTTCTCCAACCCCTTCAAGTCCAACGCCACCGCCGCGCTCCCCAGCCGCTTCGCACCGTTGAAAAGCCCGCACCCGATTCCACTCCTGCCGGAAAAAATCTCAATCTTTAAGCTGCAAGATTTCCCCTTACTGCTCAACCTCTCCACCATCTTTTCAAGCTCGGATTTCTTCAAGGTGTAGCAGGCGTGAACCCTGCTCTCCACAACACCCTCCGCGTCTTGGATCACCGGCACCGTGGAAAACTGGGGAGCAAACCCACCACTAAGCTTGATTTTACAGTAGCAAGAGTCCACCGACGTTCTCGACTTCGCCGGAAACTTCAACGCTAGATTTCCGATGTTAATTCGCACGAAAGGACACGGATCCATGGCTGGCCTGCCCTCTCTCCCGTGGAAAAAAAATCTCAAATCTCAAAAGTGGTTGCGAATCAAATGGAAAGTAAATAGGGAGAGCGTAGTTGAAGGGGGGTATATAAATGGAGGAATCTTGATGAGATTGAGAAATATGAAAGAGAGAGATATTCATATAAGAAAAAGGGGATGAGCTGGGTTGCACGTATGTAGAGGAAAGGGTGAGCCAGCGACAGCAAGACGAATCCGGTCTGGCAATTAACCAAGCACTTGTTGTGCGTAAACTTGTCCCTTCTGGACTTCACATTATTATAATACTAATCCTAATAAAAGTATGGGAGCAACCTCTCAAAGTGATGAGATTCTTTGTGCGCAGTGATCACTAGTCTAGCCTTTGTGGTTCATGTTCAGTTGAGTTACCATGATTTACATCCTCCCAAATGCTTTGTCGAGTCGAGGTGTGGAGGGCCCTTAGAGTTGGGATTCAGCCTTTTGGAATAATACTAATAAAAGTATTGCCCAAAAATGGGTAACCGAATGAGTGGAACATATGATTTTTATATCAAAAGATCACAAGTTAGTTTAAATAATAATAGGTGTTTGACATTTGATTTACAAGAAAATCTACAAAAGATCACAATGAGATAAACATGCTTATGTTGTCTTTAACTTATCGATTCAAATTAAGAATAGGACCTGTTTCACGAATTAAGTCGAATTTGGAACTTTATAGTTACTAATAAGCTAACCGTCTATGATCTTGAGAGTATATATATATATCTAATCTAAATCTAAAACTATAATAAGTCTCAATTCATGTGATATTCTTTATTTATGTCTGTTTTTTTATGTTAATATTTTTATACATTATGTTATAAGAGTTGTATGATTGATCAAATTAATTTCTTTATTTATGTCTGTTTTTTATGTTAATATTGTTTTACATTATGTTATAAGAGTTGTAAGATTAATCAAATTAATTATTTGTGTGTGTGACGAATTTATACGAAATGATTTGAATTGTAAGATTTATCAAAAATTTTATCTATTTATAAATTAATTGGTGTTATCATTAATTAAATCATGTCAAACCATATAAAAGCTTAATTTATCCAAGAAGAGTAATAAAATATTTTCTTTTGGAAAAAACTCTTACTAAAGTTATAACATGGCCAATTAATTAGACTAAAAATATGACTCATACATCTTTCTTTTTTTTTTTTTTCTTTTGAGTGGCGAGGGAATAATAATTATTACTTAAAAGTATACATTGAGTAAACTTGGTTCATATGTAAATATAAAGAAATTATATCATATAAAAATAGAAATTTGCACTGGGAAAACCATATGTATATTGGGAATAATTAATAAGAGTATGTAACTTAGAGATGGCAATTTGCTTGTCCCATTTCTGACGGGGACAGGAAATGTATGTAATTTTCCGTCCGGGTTGGGGATACCCCTCCTTAGCCCGCCCCGGCCCTGAATTATATATATATATATATATATATATATATATATATATATATATATATATATATATATATATATATATATAAAGATTAAGCTAAGTTTTAGTTTCAAAAATTAAAAATTACACTAATTTAAGATTTTGACTAAGATGGGATGGGTCATGGGGTTGAGGACTATTTTCAATTCTCTGCCGCAGATGGGACGGGGACGGGGAAGGGGTCGGGGTTTCAGGGAGGGGACATGGAGTATACTCTCCGCTTCCGCCCCGTTGTCATCCCTATGTATGTTGGTAAGAATTGAATAAGTGACCTTTATAATAAAATCACGATATGTAACGAGAGAAACACGTTATTGGAACACATGTAAATACCGCTCTTGTGTACTATGAGCAAACCACAAAAACAAAACCAATAAAAAAAATTATAGCAAAAAAACTCTGTGACAGACTCAATCGAAAATATATTATTAAAATTTTTAAGATAAAATCAAGATAAGTAACTAGAGTAATACGTTATAAGAAGAGATGTAACGTTTTTCGATACATCTAGAACTATAGATAAGAATAGGGTGTGGGGCATTGGTTACAACCGGAGAACAGCTGTTTGGCGCTTTGCTTTGATGGTGGAAAAGTATGAACAAGTTGGAGAAAATTGGGTGTGCAATTTGAATGGCCCCCACAAGCTAGCCAACCTTATTATTGTGGTTTGAGTTTTGTTTGGTTGTCTTGTAGTTAGGACAGCTATTTGCTTGTCTTGTTCAAAATATCTTATCTCAGGACGCCAACTATGAGTTGGATATATATATATATACACATTATATTGGATGATTTCAGGTCCATATCAATGATATTGTTGGCCCTCTACAAATTCATTTTTTTATTTATACTTTTCTAGATAAAAGAATTAAAATATTATAATAAATGCTCATACTATTTCAATTTTCAAAAGGTCTATAACAAATAAATTAGTTATTTTTATTTTCTAGGTCAACTGTTGTGACTTTACTTTTACTATGAATAATTCTAAGAGCAAGACCCGCCGTCAAGTTGTTACTTGGAGGATTTTGTTAGTTTAAATTGCCAACAAGAGAGAGAAAATAAAAAGTTAGTAATCACCAACTAACAACCTGATGGTTTCAAAAAAAATAAAAATAAAAAAATTGATGGTTGTGTCGGGACCCGGATCCACCATAAATCAGGTATGAAGATACAAAACGCCGGGTCCACCATAAACCGAGTATGAAGATACAAAACGGGAATAGCCGGGTAGAAAGTAGTAATATTATTGCTCTAGGCCCAAATAATATGTACAAAGTCTAAGGTACTAGTCCAAAATGGCGACCCAAATACAAAGGATGTGGTCCTCAAAACGAACTAGAAGCAACAACATAACTACCAAGACTCGAACCCAGGTGATTGGGTTGATAATATAATGTATACCAAATATCGCTAAACTAGGGGTTGATAGTGTAGACCAAATACCGCTAAGCCAAGATGCTTCTAGTGCTCATATCTTAGTGCCCTAGGGAGAGACAAGGCACTCCTATTTACAGCATAACCCCTTACCACTTTGCATTGTCCACGTGTACGGCTCATGACCTGCCTCCCTCACCATCCTACACGTGTCTTACATCCACAGGCCCACGTATCATACCAAGCCACACCACTCCAATCGCCACATCGCACCACTTCCAACTGCCACACTGCACCACCTTCGAAAATGGGGGCGCGGGCGCTTGGTGCCGCGCCGGGGGCACGAGGAACACACCGGGCAACGAGGGCCAATGGCCCGGCCGCCCGCCGGTAGCTGGCGGCACCCTCCGTCCACAACTCCACACCGGAACGGGGAGCGAGACACGCACCTGCCAATGTCCCAGTCGGCGGTACCACTACCGGCCCGGCCCACCACTCTTTCATTGACCCTCCACCTCCTTTGACCTGTACCTCCAAACTATGCTCAATAACAAGCCCAATAAATCTAGCCCGGCCCAATGCCCACAACCCATATCCCATCACAACCTAAAGAATCTGCAATTTTCAAATTGGCACAGTATATACAGCTATGGCATTAGAGTCGCAGGGACCATGCCGTTACGTTATTGCTGTTTTTCTTTTTCAATTACTAATATAAATCTTTTTGTCTTTTGAATTTGGGAATTCGCAAATATAAAAGGGTGGACCATGGTCCATGAGGGCTGTTGGAAGGACTATTATAATGGATAACTACAATAATATTGCACAATGTTTTAAATGTGATTTAATGTAAAGTTTGATATTCATCAAATTAGCGTGATAGAAGAATATATAAGTACATTTTTAGGTGGCCGGGGTGCTTTACTAATTCAAATAAAAATAAAGAATACGTTTATTGTACATTTAATTTCTTTCATTTTAAAAATAAAAAATAACAATTTGAAGAAATAAAATATCAAAATTAAAGGAACACAACTTTAGTGATTCTCATGTGAAATTTATGATGAGTATTCTTTATTATATGTGGGGATAGTTATTGAAGTTAAATTACAATATGTTTGTATTTCTCACAAGTCTTTTATATATATATATATATATATATATATATATATATATATATATATATATATTATGAGGGATTTATATATACTAATCAGGGTTTTACTTTTATTAATGAAGAATCTTTGTATTTTTTTTTTATTTTGGGGATCAAAGCTAAGGGAAGTGAACGCCAAAATGACTTAGTGACTTTTCACTTTAACTCTTCTAGATCTTGTGACATCTAAACAATAATCATGAATGGTTCTCCTAACTTGAGTTGGAGGACTATCAAACTCGTTCCAACAAGATTTTGCTTGCCCCAGGATATGAGTTTTGCCTTACATACCCTCCAAAAAAAAGTTGATAATAAACATTTACATTTTGATAAATACAATTATTATATATATTTGTAACATTTTGAAATAATGAATATATTGTGATTATATGAATGAAGTTGTTAGTAAACCATTACACTGTGATAATTACAATTAAATTAAATTATCATAATTTGGTTATATATAATGTTAGAAAATTATTTTGCTTCATGTGTTTGCATATTTTTTTTATATATATAAATTGTCCTTTTTATAACAAAACATTTCAATATATATATTGAAAAACATTCATAAACAAAACTCATTCCTCGTTAAATTAAAAGATTAATCATATAGAATTACTAGAAAATTAATAAAGCATATATATATATAATATATGATGTTTGCTGAAACATGCATACATCAATAATCTGGGATTCTAATAATCTAGGTAAGAAAGATTGAAGAAGATTCAATCATGTTCTGGATAATCATAAGCTATATACCTTAATTACTAAATTAATTAGTTACCTTAAGCTTGGACGACGATCAGTTTTGAAGGTATTCAAAGGATTAATCATATATATCATCAGCAGCCATCCAATTAAAACAATCACCAACAATGTCGTCGTTGTTGTTCATCAACATCGTCAGGACCTCCGAAGACGATAAGTTGTTATTGTTAGGGTCGTTATTATTGTCGGCTATGATCGCCGCCGCCGCCACTAACTCACCGGATCGCAACACCGCCTTCTTCTTCAACTCATTCAGCGCCGCCGTGAACTCTCCCAGTTCCGTCGCGCCCATGTGCTCTATCGGGAGGTGCCACCAGTTGTCCCCGCGGCAGCCGTGGTGTCGCTCCTCCTCCTCCTCCAACCGGATCTTCTCCTTCTCCGCCGCGAGTTCCTGCCACGCGCGGTGGTAGAGCTGCGCGACGTTCTCCTCCTCCGGCGAGTACGGCTCCGGACTGGCCGGCCGCGGCGCGTTGGAGAGGAAGCGGTCGATGACGGCGTCGGCGCTGGGGTGGCCGAAGGTGAAGACTCGCTTGCCGCCGTAGGATTCCACGATGGCGACGGCTTGCGTGCCGCACAGGATGCAGAGCTCGCTGGCCTTGTTGAACAGGCCGATGCGGCGCTTCGAGAACGCCACGTGCCGGTGGCTGACGTTGTCTATCTTCTTGATCTCGATCTTCCGGCGGCCTTGAGTTTGCTTCTTCTTGCCGGTCTTGTTTTCCATCACAAAATCTTTCAGTTTCCGACGTATAGTACTGTATAAGATCGATGTAATATAATGGCTCCTAGTCCTAGACTCCTAGGGTTTTCACTTTTTATTTAATCTTCTTACAAGAATCTAAGGGGTCGTTTGGTTCACGGAATGTAAGATTACCTAGGGAATGTTAGATTGCTGGGAATGTTAGATTCCTGTGTTTGGTTAAAATTGGGGTATGTAATATAATGATGTTTGGTTTAGGGTTATCTTTTATACACACTATAATATCCTTAAACATATTTTCATATATTTTAATAAATTTAAAAATTAAAATAAATAAATAAGATAACGGTATCATATATAATCACATGATTTTAAAATATTAACTAAAATCTTGAACTTGAGAAACAAAATTATTTTATAAACTAACATAACATAATAAATATATATATATATATATATATATATATATATATATATATATATATATATATATATATATATAACTAACATAACCAAGGTTATCTTAGATTACCTAAGATTTTGAAGGGAATCACATTCCCTTCAAAATCCTATGTGGAGGGAATGTGACATTCCTTGGGAATGTTAGATTCCCTGAGATAATATGAACCAAACACCGGAATGTGAGCTTTGGAATGTCACATTCCCTTGGTTATCTTATATAACCTGAACCAAACGCCCCCTAAAGATTTCCTTAAAAAGATTCTGTTAGTTTCCTCCTTTTTCGGGTCTAAAAGAGGAAAATTTTTACCCTACAATATCTTGCAAAGTAGTACTACTAAATATTAAATAAATAAATAATATTATTTTGATATGTGTCAAAATCTATATCTACCCATATAAAAATTAAAATATTCAACTCAGGTATAAAGGTAAATTATTGTGTGGACCATAAATATTAAGTACATTTTTAATATATTAAATGTACATTATTTTTGTACTGAATGTACATTATATAAAATAATGTAGTTCAAATAATATATTTTACGTACATAAATAATGTAACTTTAGTATATTAAAAATGTAATTTTTATTTATAATTCACCTAATTGTGTGGACTATGATCCATGTAATAATGATTGAGGTATAAATTAATAAATTATAGATCGAAAATTTTCTAAACATATAATTTAAATTGACTGAATATTTATCATAACCAAACATCCAAACTAATTACATCACATACCATTATATGATTATAATATTCATCAATATGTAAATCTTTTATGGAGTATATATTAACTAATGTATAATATTATTATAGCTAAATAATTGATTAGATGTATTAATTGGCCGAAATTAATGTACGAAAATAATAATTATTTACTAAAATAATTGTCTTATTTACGCTTTTATTTTGAAAAATATATATATATTTATTTATCATAATCAAACATTCAAACGAACAAAATCATATATCGTTTACTTTATTTCTCTGTTTTTCCATTTCCAGTTTTCCATTCTTCCATTTCTCCAGTTTTCCTTCTCCATTTCTCCAGTTTTCCATTTCTCCAATTTTCTAATTTCCATTCCCATTCCTTTAATTTTTCATTTCTCTCATTTTCTGATTTTATTAAATACAATCATCTCATATAGCATTTGTATGTTTCTACTACAAAGATAATAATAATAATAATAATAATAATAATAATAATAATAATAATAATAATAATAATAATAATAATAACAATAATAATAATAATAACAACAACAACAACAACAAATTCGTGTGCATAATAATGAGGAAAAAAAGATAATATTTATAATAATAACAACAATAATAACAAATATGTGTGCATAAGGAGAAAAAAAGGAAAAAAGATAATAATAATAATAATAACAACAACAACAACAACAAATTCGTGTGCATAAGAATGAGAAAAAAAAAAGATAATATTTATAATAATAACAACAATAATAACAAATATGTGTGCATAAGGAGAAAAAAAAAAAGAAAAAAGATAATAATAATAATAATAATAAATATTTGTACATTTTTACAACAAAGATAATAATAATAATAATAATAATAATAATAATAATAATAATAATAATAATAATAATAATAATAATAAAAATAAAATGGGGAAGAATGAAAAGATACGTAAAAAAAAAAAAGGATGAAAGAATAAAGAAGGGAAAAAACAAGTAAATATTTGTACATTTTTACAACAAAGATAATAATAATAATAATAATAATAATAATAATAATAATAATAATAATAATAATAATAATAATAATAATAATAATAATAATAATAATAATAATAATAATAATAATAATAATAATAATAATAATAATAATAAAATGGGGAAGAATGAAAAGATACGTAAAAAAAAAAAAAAAGGATGAAAGAATAAGGAAGGGAAAAAACAAGGAAGAAAGAATAATGGGGAAGTCAGGGGAACGAAACAAGGAAGAAAGAAGAAGTTGGCTACAAGATTCGACATTGAGACCTCCTAGAAAATAACACTATTCATCCGCGCGTCTCTCCATTTCTCCAAATGGAGAAGACTTATTTTGTATTCTCCAAATTTGTACATAGGCGGAAGAATTGGAGATGGAAAACATAATTGGAGAAAGAAATTTAATAAACATGTTTTCCATTTTCCATTTTCCACTTCTTCATTTTTCTGTTTTTCTGGAAAATTCTCCAATTCTCCACTTTAGTAAACAACCCCATATATTTTATTTTACTTTTTTTGAATATTATTGACACTGTTATTAATAAAATAATTACAAATTTACAATATTCATCATTATGTAAATCTGTTATTTATTTGTCATTAATTCGTCATACATTAAGCCATATGTGTTCATTACCAATTTAGGGAGCATGATTAGAGGAAAAATTAGCAACATTTTGGTAATGATGATGATCATGGATTATTTAATTTACAGCTAGCAAATATTATGCCATCAACCAATCAATTCAATTTATCCATTCAGAGTCATTACATTGGGCAATTTATCTCTTTTAATCCGTTAGGTAATTAAGAGATGAATTGAAGAATTATTGAGACACATACATTCAATCATTTATCTCTTTTGATTAGTTAAGAAACAAAGACAGAAAACAGGTGAAACCATAGGAATTGGAGTACAATCTTTTTTATTTAGGGATTTAATTAGAAAATTCCATGATCAAATCCAAAGGTAGGTTTGCAGCGCTTGATGATGAAGAAGAAGAGTGTTATTATCCGTATTGATCATTATCCTCTGTGATTTCGTCTCTTCAAGATCAAGTAATGTCTCCGCCGCCATGATTTTCCCTATCTGGGAAGCCACATTTTTCTTGAGCTCATCCATGGCGATCATCACCTGCTCGAGCTCCGGCAACCCAAGCTCGGTGATCGGAGCTTCCCACCAGTACTGGCGGCTCCGCCTCTCCTCTCTCATCCGCCCAACCATCTCCCCTCTCTTCTTCTCCATCTCCGACGCCGCCAGCACCTGCGTCAGCTGGAGGCTCATCTCGCAGACGGCGGCGGCGCTGCGGTGGGCCTCCGCCAGGTGGAGGGCGGCGCCGGAGACTGGGTGAGGGTTCCGGGAGAGGAACCGGTCGAGAATGGGGTCCACGTTGGGGTGGCCGAAGGAGAAAGCTTTTCCGGCCGGCGAGAACACTATAATGGCGATCTCTACTCCGCAGAGAGTGCATAGCTCGCTGGCTTTCTTGAAAACCCCAGATCGGCGCTTGGAGAAGGTGACTTGTAGGTGATTCTTCGTCTCTATTTTTGCGATCTTGATCTTTTGCCTGCCCATATTTGGCTTCTTCGCCATGGCTAAAAGCTCATAAAATTATCAGATTGAGTGTTTGAAGCTTGTTGTGGAAACATAGAAACTGGATTGGAGTATTTAAAGGGGTCTCCATCCACATTGTTTTTACTACGTTCAATTAATTTTCATTCATTTTAGTAGCATTTCTATCTTCATATATAAATTACCCAAATGATATGGGAGTTAGAAAATCCCATTATCTTAATGCCTAAAAGTAATTATCATTTAAAAGGTTTAAAGTTTGATTCTTTATACAAAGCAGGTATGTCATTCAATACTATGTTTGAAGCATGTGTTCGAATCCATTATGATATACAATTAAAACAAGTTATTTCTAATGGGACTAAATTAAAATTAAAAAAAAATTAAATATGAGATCGCAACTATTCTTTTCTCATAATGTTTAATCCCCAATTTCAATGGTCCACCACATCCGGTTCGACAGAGCATTTGAGAGGATGAAAAAAAGATAGGCAATATATCTTCTATCTCGATTAATTAAAGAGTTTTAAGTCATTTTTTTCAAGTAAGAGTTAAACTTGTTACGTGATTTGATCCAATTTAGATATATTTGTCCTAATGTACGTGTTGTATAATGTATACGGGGTATGTATTATTTATTACCAAATCTTAATTTTCAATGAAATGATAATGATAGTATTATTACCCAACAAGTGATATGATTATACCTAGACATGATAATGTTGACTGTTACTGATAGAGAAGCATTAATCTTCAAATCATATCATCATAGAAACCAAAATTTAAGTATTATTAGGCATTAGTATATGTAGATATTATTCTTGTACTTGTACTAAGATCAACCTCATTAGCTCAATTTTTGCATAATTTTTAGATGCCAAGTAAAATAGAGAGGGAGAAAAAAGAGAAAAAAGACAAAAATAAAAATAAAAATACTCAGTTAATGTTTTTACGCGCCTACGGCAAGGCGCGTCAACTTGACGCCGTCAAGTGCGCCTCAAATATAATTTTATTTTAATGGGTCTCACATCAGAATAATATGTATTCTGTATGTGTTAGTGATGTAAATGAGCTGAGCCGCTCACGAACCACTTGTAAGCGGCTCGGTCAAAGCTCGGCTTGAGCTCGAGCGACTCGTTGTTTTTTATTATTATTATTATTATCAAAAATTATAATTTTACTCCATTCTACTCTAGTACTCTCGTCGCAGTCCTGCACTCCCGCCCCCATTCTCCCCAAGCCCTACCTCTGGAAGGTTGTCGACGACAATGACACGGGGACGAGATACGGAGACACCGGAAGACTTTCGGCCGACGACTCATTTGATGTCAAAATCGAACCCGAACTCGAGCATCAATTGTACGTCAAGCTTGAGCCGAGCTCGAGCTCGAGCCAACCCAAGCTCAAGTTCGGCTCAATTCGTTTACACCCCTAGTGTGTGTAAGAGATCAAATGCGGAGGATCAAAGGTCTTCATGTAAAAAAAAAAATGGTGAAAAATCTCAATAATTTACAGTTTTGATAAAAGTGTAGCATTTTGTATGTATTTATTTACAGTTTTGACAATGTACTTTTTTTCAACTTTACACCACACTTTTATTAAGAAGTGTAGCGGGAATGCCCGCATATTTTTATGTTCACTTTTGTACGTAGTAGTGTATCTTTTTGTTTCGACCATCTTGCATTCCCTCTAAATTAAAGTCTTAATAATTAATTAATTCATACTCTCTTCCCCACTAGCATGAGCTTAGGCCTGCTCGAAAGGTATTTCAATTCGTCGTAAATATAACAATATTCAATTCCGTGAATATATACATCATTCATCAATTTTAATTTCACCAATAATATATATTGCATGCTCATCCGATCCCACAAATTAAAAAAGATTGAAAATGAATTTGAATACATGGAAGTATATATATATATATTTTATGGCGCAAATGGGTTGTAATGAAAGACATATTTGATTAAGTTTCGAACAGATCCGGCGGCGGCGAGAAGGGAGACAAAGAAGCAGAAAAGGCTGAGTGTCTGCAAACAAATCCATGCGCAGGAGAATCTCCGAATTTTTGCTTGTTTCATGTACATTTGTATTGGGAAATATATGGTGAGAGGCCAGAATGAAATGGCTCCCAGAAGACCCACGAAGGCGTTGAAGAAGGGGAATATCAATCCCACTATCACCGTGAATATCACGTATCCTGTTCTCCATAGTAGCCTGAAGAAGTTGAACTCCCAGAATCCAAGAATGATGAATTCTGCCGTTATCAATCTGTTTTCCGGCCACATTCTCCGGCTCCAGCTCTCTACAAATGCAAATACTGGTTGAGTAAATACCTGCACCAGCACACACATGATCAATCATGTATATTTAGTTTTTTTTTTTTTTTTTTAACTCTCAACTCGAGAATGTGCATTGGGTGTATTATCCTATCTTGTGACCTTAGCTCTCAAATTATTAGACCAGGCCACAACGAGGAATTAAACCAACCTAGGTTATGCTCATGGCTTCCCAACTCAAATCAAGAAGACCAATAGGTCGCTTATGGATAGATGGCATGCATTGGGTAAATCTCGCCTTATTTATGACCTAGCTGTCAAAGGATCTAGGTTGTCCCTGACCCGTTCAAACCAATAAGACCAATAGATCGCTTCCATGCAAAACCCCAGATTGTGACCCTATTAGATCACAATGATAAATCAACCTACTAGCTAGCTTGTTTATAGTGATCAATTCAAACTAATAAAGTCAATAGGCCGTTGCATACATTAGGTAAACCTCATCACCTTATAACCCTAATCGTCAAAGGATCGAACTACAATAAATAAATCAGCCTATGTTGTTTATAGTTTATCAGTTCAAACCAAGAAAGTCAATAGGCTATGCTCTGACACTGTAACCCTAATCGTCCTTTGAACCATGATATATTGATATCAACTTCCTCTATATATATGTGTGTGTTTATTAATTATGTACCTGGTAGGCTCCAATGAGGTGGACAACAATGCATGCATTAGCAAAGTCAATAAGCCAGTATGGTTCATAGAAGCCATGATCATCTGTTAAAAGGTTCCCCGGAGCATCAACTCCGAATGCAACATATCCGACGATCCCACACAGTGTGTAGAAGAGCGATGACACCATGATCCCAACAAAAGTCGCCTGTTTCATCACTCTGTTCTCTCTCGGGGAAGCTTTTAGTGTATCCTGCAATAATCCCCCATTATTATATTAGATACAAATCAGATAAAGTTTGTAATAAGAAGCGAACTGAAGAAGTTCCGAATAAGAGAGACTTGCCTGTATTTCAATGACAACAATGGAGAAAGCAAAGGCGATGGCAATGTTTCCAAGAGCAGAGAATGTTTTCCACATCTTATCCACAGCCGAGTTGTCGTTGCCAATGGGCACACCCGTCACACTTGTTCTTACCGGCGTTCCACCTGGTAGATAAACAGGTGCGTTCAAATCTGAGACCTCTCATTTGAAAGACCATAGCTATATCGTTGGACCAAATTAAAATGTGATTAAACACTGCTGGAAATTATTGAATTTCCGATCACCTGAAAGTGATCTTAAATCAAGTTGAAAATAAAAAGTGGTCGAAAATAGCAACAAAGGTTTTTTCGGATACCAAAAGTGGTCAAAACAAACTTTCTACTGATTTATGATAACTTTCAGGTGATCGAAAATTCCAGAATTTCTATCAGTGTAAAGCTGCGTACCGGCGATTCTTGCAGCAGAGAGAGCAAGGCCGATGATGGCGTAAGTAAATGACATGACGGCAGCAATGACTGACATGAAAGAAATATTGTGAAATTTTGGTATTTGACTAAGGATCATCTGCACTGCTCCAAACTCCAGTATGTAGGTCCGGGTTGACGGAGAGCATTCCGGCGGCCTACCATGCCCCCCGTACGCGTGCTTGTGGTAACAGTTGCTTCTTTCAATCGCCCTCGTCATCAATTCAATAAACGTTACTTCATAATATAATGTTCCAACTAGTTTACCATAATCAGTTATTAGCTAAGCAACGAATTAAATACTTACCCTAAGCTAAGAGCTGTTGTGATTACGTATCCAATGGCAAGCCCAATTAGAGTAGCATATTGGGCAAGTGCACAAAACATAAATTGTATGCCACCTGTAATATAATCTTGTGATTATTAAGTTAAGCATGTGCTTCATCTCAACTAAAAGCTTAAACTGATAATTGGATTGCTGCTACATGCTAAACACGCCCCTCACATGTGCGTTGGGTTCCAAGCAACACGTGGACTATAGTTGTTTATGTGGTCTGATACCAAATTAAAGCATGTGCTCCATCTCAACTAAAAAGCTAAGCTGATAATTGGATTGCACATTAATGACTATATGCTCAATGACGAACTTGAATGGGTTATTCTATTTTACATATATACATACATACCCAGATGAGTTCTAACGGCGTCCATGTAAGAATGGTTGCGCGTGCCTTCCGGCGAGCGGTAACAATCCGTGAGTAGAATGGAAGTGTACAACGTGATGACGGAGAAGACGAGCAGAGCAGCCGGTCCGGCGACGCTTCCCAGCTGCGCCACCGCCCACGCTAGAGACAGCACACCAGACCCTATTATTGCAGTTATTATGTGCGCGCTTGCCGTTATCAGTGTCCCTACATATATATATACATTCACTACATCCATGAAATACTCAAAATCTTAATTAACTTTAATTTTCATCAAAACAATATAAAAATATATATATGCATATACACTACATATATATACCGGAGATTTCTACAACACCGACATCGTAGAATTTTTCCGTATATACCAGTTCTTTTGATGCGGCCATCATCATCGAATAAAGAATCTTCTGCGCCTCCTTCTTGAACAACCACACTTGTAGTTCTCTCCATTTCTGCAATTCGATCTATCTCTTTCAGTTCTGAATTGTATATATATATGCAGTGGGTATAATACTAAGAGTCTGCGTCTGTGTAAACTTTGATTAAAAAGAATAAAAGTAATCTAATGACAGTATCATATCATCTTCAGAGAT